TGCTTGTCAATCAGGCAATGTCCTATTATATCATATACTAACAAACTGATATACTGCACAGTAGTAGGTCAGTGCGTTTAACGCTGAGCGCCGGTTATAATTTCCTGGCAGTTGGCATTATAGTTTTCCTCAATGTCTCAGTGTCCCGGAACCCATATCACCTTTGAGCGAAATGATTCAGCCATCTTGTTAAGAGATGTGCGGCATTTCATGGTTACCATAGAAGATGAAGAAGATGAAGATGAAGATGAAGATGAAGATGAAGATGAAGATGAAGATGAAGATGAAGTTGAAGATGAAGATGAAGATGAAGATGAAGATGAAGATGAAGATGAAGATGAAGATGAAGATGAAGATGAAGATGAAGATGAAGATGATAAAAAAAGTATATATATAATGATATGCAAGATCAATATTAATATTTGCGACTTCTTCAGCACGAAACTGACTAGAAATATATGGAAAAAAGATTCAATTCCACGACGTGTTCCTTGTTACAAGCACTGTTAATGAGAGTTTTATTTCTTTGTTCTTTGATTTGCATGGCATAATAATAGTAATAATAATATTCTGGCGCTTAATTTTTTTCGAAGTGTTTGGTCTCGTCCAGTTTATGGTCCGCCGTCTGATGTCATAGCACAAAGTGGAGGGATCTACAATTTTAAGTCGTCTCCGAACAGCAAGTGGTTTCATTAGTTGCTTTTTGAAGTCACTCGGCGGATTGCCATTGCCTGTCGAGGAGCGACCACTGGTAGAAGAAACCAGGGTTCGCACCCAGATCCTACGGAGTGGTAGTACGCACCTCTTACCACTCAGCCACAGCGGCCGCCTAAGATATGCTTTCATTAAATGTCTCAGGTTCCATAAGGTTGTTTGCCAATTAACTTTTCACCAGCTCAACAGCGACATTTCTGGTTATTCAAAAAGTTTAGTAGTTAGTTCACAAAGATCCGCAGTTTGGTACTTTTTGGTACCTAAAAACCTAAAAACTCTCGCCCACCAATTTTTGCCAGCTTTTGTGCTTTCCGATTGATGGCTTCGTGAAATTGCCTTATAGCAGTTTGTGAATCTCCCACTGTGCGTGGGGTGATCCCATGCGAAACAACATCTAAGAGTAAGCGGAAAAGCACACTAAATACACTTAATCCACGCGGTAGGTAGTCGTTTCGAGATTTATGGAATAGCGGTTTACATACAAACCAAAACAAAAAAACAAACATCTAATGCACTGGTAAATAGTAAATCGCAGAATACCAGCTGTTGTCTTGCGAAAAAATGCAAATAGGCTGATGTCGCACTGGCCAAACGGTGATTGAATTGAACGCCGCCGCGCCTCAATCGTGCAACACTCGTATTCTGAAATCTAAACCATTTGAAGTAATCATTTTCCAACTAGCCACACTCAATGGCAAGATTACTCCACTTCCTGCTGCATTACGAACAACTGGCAACATACTTTTATTGAGCTCCCGTGCACTTGCTGAAATGTGCCACAAACGTGTTTGATTGCTGCGCCTAGTCTTGCTGGATGCTTTTAAGTCAATAGCTTTTGAAGTGTGGCGCATTTACCGCTGCAGGTATCGCATAATCCGTCATTAGCGTTGATCCACACGCCACGCCAGCAGCCAACGCACTTTGCCACAACGACGACAGCGCATGCATTCGTGCACCAATTAGGCGGCGAGCTGGTTAAATGTAATTGCATTTGTTTGCTGTGGCAAACGCACTTCCGCTGTCGATGGATTAGCCAACTACATACATACTTACTGCCTGTGTCTTCGCTTTACTGCCGGTGCATGCAATGGCTTTTGTGGCAGGAGCGAAAGTAAATGAAAAGTAAAGTGCTGCAACTACAACTGTCACATTGGCGATTTGTATGCCTTTTTTTTCATGTATGTAAACGAGGCCAAGCCGCACAACTTTCTTTGACCATCACTCAAAATGCGACCGCAATCTCGGCGCTCGGCGTGCGCGGGAATTATGAACGCTTGTCCGTTGTGACGCCACTCTTGACATGCGACGACTTGACATGCGCCATGGGAAACAACATGTCACAGTTTTTGTTTTTGTTTTTGCGTGAAAGAGACGCGCCTGCGCTGTTAAAATAAAAAAAAATAAAAAACACAACACTTTTTCTCTGCCTATTAGCTGTTAGCTATTGCCTGCTGGTTCGCTGTCGCTCCGAAGTGGCAGTAAATGCCACTAATCTGCTCGGCAAAGTAAACAAAAAACGGCTGCGGCCAACAACGCCAAGAAAAAACGAGTTTTCATTTGTTGCATGCTGCAAGAAAAATAACAAAAACAACAACAACAACAATATATTGTCACCTCTCAGCCACGGTTGCAGCTACTTAAAAAGCGATTTTACTGCCAAATGTTTGACTGCTGCTGAGGACTTACGGCTATGGCGATTTGGGGCGACTAATGTGGCATGTCTGATATGCCAACCTGCCAGCATGCAGATCCGATTTGCAGATGGAGAACGAAGCTGCTATTAGACACAGCAGACGAACACCTCCTTCTGGCTGCTGTGGGCGTGTTGGAGTAGTTAGTAGTAGTAGTAGTAGTAGTAGTAGTTGGAAAATGTGTCGATTACTGTTTTTGTTGCAGGCGTGGTAGTTGCACTCAGTCTGAGACTTCTACCGTGGAAATATTGTGTATGTATGTATGCAACTTATATGCACTAAAAGTGTCGTACAAATGTGCCGCTTGCAGTTTTATGTCGGCACAAGTTAATAAATTTTCACGACTGGCGGGACCACACCTGCGAGTGCCCATTAATTTCACTTCTAATGGGAATAATATTACTTATTCATTATTACCAGTGAAAAGACGTTGAATTGGCGCTAGTTATGAGAAATTTTCGAAAGTTATTTCCTCTGTCGGTTGCGGTTATTCAACTTGCTTGGCTTCCCTTACAAAATTAAAGGGTTCGCTGGCGGATCTAGGCGGATGGGCGGAGTAATATGGTCATAGAGTAAGGGGTGTGCTCCTAGCCGCTCTCGATGAGGACGCCTGGCACGAGAGATCTATCGTGTACCGTGTAGGCCCCGTTAGCATCCCAGACATCCGTTTTAAATGACCGTGAAGGCGTCTTCAGGACCGATCCTACCGAAGAATTTTCTAGATTGTTTTTAACCCCGTGTCAGTCGGCGGTATTTTTACCCGTGCAGGGATCCGGGGCTTCATTATTATTAATCATAATCACTGTGCGGCGACCGAGTATATAAGGTACGGGGAAAGAACGGTCGGCCACAGCAGGGCCTTGTGCTGCGGTAAGTCCTCCGTTACTCCCGGAGGCGGATAGGTATCCGGGAGGCGCCGTTAAAATACAGTCGGAAAGCCCGCTGACTGCCAACCATCCAATGGGCACGGTGACGCATGACACCCTGGATTAGGGGGG